TAATTTATATATTAAAAAATAATGATATTGAAAATGATGTGCCTAAATTTGGTGGTTATGCTTTGCAGAATCTTGGAGATGGGGCTGCCTCTTGAGCCATACGAATGGTATCTGGACCTCCGGCGCTTTGGGACAGTTAAGCATTGTGGATTTGGCTTAGGTTTTGAACGAATGGTTCTTTTCGCCACTGGCATTGACAACATCAGAGACGTTATTCCCTTCCCCAGATACCCCGGGAGAGCCGATCTCTAAATGATTTCTACTATGTAGCACAATGAAATACTATTCGATTCAGTTCATGAATACGTAAAGGATATTGATAGTTTTGCATAATTTTTATGTTTCAGTTGTTAAAGCACATTGGTTTAAATCAAAATCTAAGAATGATGTTCCCTTTATTTATTTATTTATTATTATTATTATTATTATATTTTTTTGAGCATCTATGAAGAGGTTGTATACTTGTTAACAATAAGGAGTCTCCGCTCCCTCGCCCTTTCCTGTTAGTTAGAACATGAGATCCAACTAAAACCTAGGCCAAAAAATCCATTTTCTGTCTGGAGAAAAATGAAGTACAACAGAACCCAGAAACCATCCACTGGCACATTAAAGTGACCCAGAGACATCTAGATCCTCAGCTTTTCCGTTTCGTTTTGCAGTTTCACAGTTGATATGGGGAAAATGCATTTATGCTAAAACCTAGGCCAAAAAATCCATGTTCTGTCTGGAGAAAAATGAAGTACAACAGAACCCAGAAACCATCCACTGGCACATTAAAGTGACCCAGAGACATCTAGATACTCAGCTTTTCCGTTTCGTTTTGCAGTTTCACAGTTGATATGGGGAAAATGCATTTATGCTAGCATGAATTGCTGCATTTAAGCTTTGAAATAACCAAAATTAGTGTCCCTTAGGGAACATTCTAAAAGGTTGAGGTTTCATTTAGGAGATTTTAATTTTGAATTTTGAAATAAATAAGGAGAGATTTGAAAGAAAAAAATTATCTTTAGTTGTATAACTTATTATTTGACATATCAAAGAAACAGAATTAACCAAAATTAGTTGCACTAGCATTATATATGTGGTATGAGAGACTTATTAAGTGGTAAATAATTTAACTGTAATTTTTCTCTTAAATGGAACAAGAGATTGCAGATAAAATCCTTCGACAAGCGGCTAAGACGCCAAGAAAAAATTGTCTTTTATTATAAAATCTAAAAATAATAATAATAAAAACTAAAAAGAGAACGGTATCAAGATAGGTTCAAGTAGAATTGCCAAAAAATGTGATGGCACACTTCTCTCTGAGAAACTAAGTGTTTACACCAATTTTTGCAAAAAAATAGAATGGTGCTACGTGTTATCCATGTTGACAATTATTTTATTAATTAAAAGTTATTGGTGTAAATCTCTCCAGATAAGGTTTAGTGGTTATTTTCACGACAGCAAAGCCGTTCGTTTGTTGCAAACTTCTAGGAGGATAATCGACAGCATCAACAAATTAATCGGGTTGTTTCAGATATCACATTGCCTTTGGTTTCCAAGATTGTTGCTGCAGATCTCCAAGCATACTGCCAAGGGGTGTTTATTGCTATAAGTATGCAAAGAAAAAATGAAGCGAAAAAGACCAGCCTCTCACATGACTAGCCTAACGCTATTTACATTTTAGTTTTACAAGCAATATCTTAGTTTAGATCCAGTTTTCTCAAACAACTTTCCTAATTTAGTCTTTAGCTCTACGCTGCCATTAGTTTTAACTTTGATTTTTGTTATTTTGTTGTGAACATCTCCACTCAATGTATTTAGTTTTTTGCAATTCAATTTACTACACTTTGCCCCAAAATTAATCTTTCTAGTTTCTTTTAAGTTTTGTTTTATACTTCATCTTTTATTTCATCTTTTATTTCATTCTTTACGCTTTCATGCTTTCACGGTGACATCACGCTTCCACTCTACAATTTAGTTTTCTCACTATGCAATTTCTTTCTTCTCTTTTCCTTTATTTTTCTCTTTTATTTTGATCAACAAATTAACATTTTAGCCATAGTTGTGGGAAGTTCCTGATATTCTTCAAGGACAATTATTTATGGACCTTTATATAGGAATATACCCCGTTTCTGCAACAATCGTCTGACTAGGGCACATCTTATAATTTATTTAATCGGTACTCTTCCATCGACTCGCAGCTGAGTTCCACACTTAGAAATAGTGAGGGTCACCGGGAATCACTCTTTCTGACTTTGAACAAAGTGAGTGGTACGCTTTTACAATTTTACCTGTCACGTGGTTAGAAAAGAAGATTTTTGAGACAACACTAAGTGATAGCACCAAGTCCTTGTCTTGATTTCAAATCATTGCAGTTCCCTATCCCATCCCCTATAATTGCCTAGTAAATAACAAAAGTTCTAGTACACTTAGCTTTAAGGGGTTTTTCTTTTTTAGGACCTGTTTGGTAGAGCTTTTAGAAATTTCAGCTTTTTGATACTATTTATATTTTATAAGTTTAAATTTTTTTAAAAAAATTTACATTTTTAAATTTTTTTAATCTTAAAAAGATTTTAAACAGTAAAAGATCAAAAGTTTTAAATCCAAACTTTTTACAAATCCCTTTTTTACTCAATTTTTCTTATATCTAAAAATAATTTTAAAATTTTTCATTTAATAAAAATTTAAACTTATCACTTAACCGTATAAAAAAAGTAAAAACTCAAATAAACTCCACCAAACAAGCCCTTAATCTCTTGTAAAATAACAAGTGAAACTCCTCTTCATTGCATACTTGGAGTTCAGAAGGTAACCTTAGAATATAGTGATTGGACTTACAACTACAGTACCAAGCAAACCACAAGTTTAATCTTAAGATGACAGAGGATTAGCTTGAATATGTGTTCTCGAGTCTGCTAAGAATCGATCTTTTTTTTTTTTTTTTTACAAGGGCAATGATTAAAGGTTAGTAAGGTTAGAATTGTTAATATGAGGTATTGAACCTGGACAAAGGTACAATCCACCGGTTGCCTTTTTTGACAGCAACGACCACAGTCACAGTGGGAGAATACGGGAAGAGATGGAGATTGAACCCCACATCCATGGTAAAATGCCTTTTAACTAATGGTTAAGTGACCACTTGGGCCACACGGGCTTCTTAAGAATCACTCTTTCTTAATTGCACTACTTGTGGAGTCTTTACTTTTTAGGTTTTTGCTTTTAGCATAAATTAACCATAAATTAATTAATATTATAATTTTATGAAATGAGGAAAATTAAGAAGTCTTTACAATTAAAACACCTTGGGGTTTGTTTGGTTAAGAGGGAGAAAATTATTGGATCCTCACAGCTTCTATGCAGTGGAATCGACTTTGAGTTAGTACAGATCATTTTTTGTGGTTGCATATTTGAGTTTCATGGATTGCTTTTTTTAATCTTCATTTATTTAATATGTATTTATTTCTTTCTATTCAAAAAACAAGGGAGGGAAATTATTGTAGTAGAGTTTTATTGAAATTTTATTAGAGAATAAATATTTTTGTTTGATAAAAAATTAATATAAGAAAAGTTAGTAAAAAAATGAGCAAGTGAATCTTGTATAAAAAGAGTTGAGAGATAACTTTTTCAAAAAGAAAAGATTACGAGTAAAGAAAAATAAATACTAAAAATATCAAATTTTCATTTTATTTTATTTGTTATAACTTTAAGATATATAAGTATTAAAATACCCTTATAAAATCATACAAAAAAATTATTGGAAAAGTAAACCAAATGCCTCCAAAAACCAAAATGAGATAAAAATACGTTATAATATTAGGTTAAAGAAAAATATTTTTTTACTAATCAAATCATAATATTTAAAAATTATATAATTTAATTAATTAAAAAACTCAATCTTTTTCAGTGTTTTCCTTAAATTAAACATATTCTAATTGGAAAAGTGTAATGATTTGAGTGAAACCTATGGAAGGGAAGAGGAGAGATGGATTTATAATGTGATTGGTTAAGAAAATTATCAATGTCACCCATTTATATCCCATCCAACATATTATTAGTCCTTTAGTATAAGAATAATAAATATTTTTTTATTTAAAAATTTTTTCAAAATAATAATTATTTTTTATTTTAAAAAAGACAAATATATTTTTATTATATTTCTATAATTATCTTTTAACTTTAATTATTTATTCTCCAATTAATATATTTTTTTGATTTTTATTTATCTTTTAAAGATAAAATAGGAATAAAAAGAATTTGTTTCTAAATCTTTAATTTATAAGTTGCAAAGCATCACAAAGGTCCAGAACGGTGCGTTTTTAGCCAACGCGTTTTGACGCCGTACTGCCAATGATACCGTTGTTTTTCACAATTGGAAAAATTTTTGCTTTCTCGGAACCCAAACAGGGGAAAAGTCTCGGCGGGGGAAGAGGGATAGCTTAGCGAAGGCGAAGAAGATGATTTCGGTGAAGAAACTGACTAGAAAATTTCGAAAATCTCGAGATGACAAGCTTTCTCTGCCAACTCGGGACGATCCGGATCTCGACGGTTCTCGTCCGATGGATACCCAAGGTTCTCCTCCAAATCTCAAGACAGATTTGTTTCTGAATTTTTCAAAGTTGTTATCTTTGCAAAATTCCCACTTCAATTACCTACGCTCTTTCTCTTACTTCTTTTGGTTTCTCGGCAACCAAACAGGGTTTGTATTCTTGCTTAATGAAATATGTATTGATTCTATTAATTTTGCAGAGCAAGAGGAGTTGGTGAGATCACTTGAAAAGATGCAAGCTAAGCAAAGTATTCAATGGAGGGTATATGGGATTCTTCGTACCAAAATTTATAGAAAATTTTTGCCATCATTTTGAATTGCTTTTCTTGTTTTCTCTTTCTCTAACGATTATTATTCTTCCTTTTGTAGGTTGTGTTTGCAGCACTTCTCTTTTGTTATGCTGGGTTTCTTATTTATTCCATTTATCAGCAAGCTTCATTTCCATGGGAACTGGTAAGGTTCTGCGATAATATTGAAGCAAATTGCTTCCTCTTATTTTCTCTTCCCTTGAAGCTTTATGTAATTAAAATTGACAAAGCGGGTTGCATTGTGAGAAGCTTAAAGCTCAGTGAAGCAGTGTCTTGAATTTTTTGAAGTGTCATTGCAAAAAATTGTTTTCAGATAGGATTGTAAACAGATAATTCCCGGAAACGTTCAGGAACTTTAATTTATGCATTTAGTGGAAAGCATTAGCTTAACTTGTTTCTGCATTCTCGGTTTTTATCATCATAAGCATAAGCAGGAGATAGGCCTCATAGGCTGTTCATGCTTTTTGTTAAGAGTGCTAGTCTTTCTTCTTCTTCTTCTTCTTCTTCTTCTTCTTTTCATTGAAATAGGCCTCATTAGGTTCCTCTTTTGTGATGAAAAGAGTGCATTAGATACATAGGTAAATATCGAAGCTCATTACAATAGTATTCTTGCATGAATGTTCTCTTAATGCAGTTCATGCATAGGGTTATAAAATGCCAATGTAATTCAATGAGGCCAGCTGGAACTGCCACTTTGAGATGTTCTTGATAGATAAAACTCTGAGTGGATTTCATGGTTTGGCTATATCTTTTACAAATTTCTATTATCAAATATCTCGTTTCACTTTCTTTTGGGGCAAAAATAACTTGTTGCACGTTGTTAACAGCAACACCATGCTTACTTCATGGAGGAGGTTGACTCATGGATGATAATATCTGCAGGTTAGGTTTTAATCCTTGGTTTTTTGTGTTCTTCATATGCTTAATTGCAATGATATGTCTACGCTATGAGATTGAATTTATGTGAATTGAGCAGAGAAGCATCTAACACTTGCAATAAGCAATTACTAATTCATCTGTCTTGCTAATTGCTATGTTACAACATATGCTCTTTGGTTGGTTCCTAATGTTACAATTTGTTATATGGTTTGTCCTAAATCCCAATCATTTGGTAATTCAGTAGAGATGTTTTACCACCTGATTTTTGTTTTACACTACTAATTTTGTTTAAATATCTGTCATGTGCCTTCACCTAATTTAATCATTTAACAGATTGGATAGCTGTTTTAGCATGCTTGATGGCCATTGTTGGAATGCTTTATAACTCAAGGGATCACAGACAATGGATTTGGTACTCATGCTCAGCTGGCCTTGGTCTTGCAGTCTTCTGGTTATATTACATGCTAAGGTGCCTAATATTCTTGAATTTAGCTATATTTATTTGACATTTTATCATTAAGCTGCTCTCATCAAACTCTTGGGAATTGGGAGTTCCTCTTGTCTTCGATCCACTTTATTTTTCATAATTGAAGTACAATGTATCATCTAGGGTCACACACACACACACACACACACACAGAATGCATCTAACTGAATTGTTTTTAGCCCATGACCTGTATCCTTTTTTTGGTGTAATTTGTTGGATTGTACTTTGGACCTTTCAGTTTTTCTGGCCAACTTTTAACCAGTTCAACTTGAGTGTTTATTTCTGTTCATCCTGCTTAATGTTTTTAGAACTTGTATCCTAAATGACTCGCTTATATGATTCTAATTTGTGTTGTAGATTGCCAAAATTTCGGTGGGATATTATCTGGCTTCCATTTGGCCCTCTGAGGTATGTTTCATTTTACCTGCTCTTATATTCCTAAATGGTTGGATTTGAATGTGTATCCATATCATGAATATGCAGTGGAGCTGGGATATGTCTCTATGTGGACCATCTACTTGCTGAGTCATCAGAAGAAGTAAGAAAACTCAGAGGCTATATGTATGCTTATAAAGCCAGCTAGTGAGCTAGAAGCCAATTCCATTTCCACTCAGGGTAAGAGAGCACTGAGTTTATATGGTTCCAGGTAGTGCATTGAAAATCAGAAGCAGCTTTGATATGGCCAAGTGTTAAGGAGGATAAATTACCCGATTCTACTTGTTCGATAGTTGAGTTCTTAGTCTTATGTTCATTCAGGTTATAATGTTATATTCCTAATTGGTTATTCTCTAACAAACACCGTAGCTACCGCCTGAGGACTTTTCCTTTCAGGCGTGATTGCATAGATTGTTCTTTTCTTCTATTGTATTGATTCCTCTCAGTTACACCCATATGTATATATTTTTTGGTTCGTCTACATGCTAATAACATCTCACCTTTTTGCATTCGTGGGCACTGAGATTAGTTTCCTCTCCTGATTCAAAGTGTTCTGTATTTTTATCAGGGCATAATTTAGTAATCCAATTGAACTGTATTCAAGCCTAAAATAATAAAATAGTCCAATCCTCCCTGCAAAGGAAATTTTCAAGGTAATTCTTCCAACAACCAAGAAAAGCACCTTTAGTACTTGCAAGGCCTGAACCTCGAAGATCTTGTAATTACATTGAGAAAGTTATTTAAGGAGTCAAGTTCAAGGGAATAAAAAAAAAAAAGTTTTCCAGTCCGAAGATGGGATGTAAAAATACTGATTCCAATTACAACAATGACTCCTCTATATGCAGTCCGGACTGAAAAAATTTAACTACTAAAAAATACTGCCATATTCCCTTCCGTAGAAAGGATAGATAAATACCGTTTGTCCAGAACTTATATGGAAACATTTGATGAGATAACAAAGAAAAATAAAAAAGATAAAAAAAAAAATATTTAAACTGAAAGCACCAGCAATGCGATCCTCTCCATGGTTAGATCAGTTTCCCTCACTTGCTAGGAACTACCATAGTGCAAGCAAATCCAATAAATTATGACTCAAAACTTAAAAGCATCCTTCCATTTTGATGATATCATGATAGAGCAATTAAACAACTTTCACTTAGGAAAAATTTTAAGTAACAAAATTTAACCATCAAAACAACAATAAACCAACAAAATTAGTCTGTCTCATAACATACTTCACTAGGCAAAGCTCCCATGTAAGTTTTTGTTCTGCTAATAAAAAGCAAGTTCCATAGATAGACAATTAATCATCATCTTCAATGACCTTGGTACCCAAACCCTTGAGTCCTTCTGATGGAATTTCTGCAACAGTGACGAGGGAGTATAGCTCCTCCTTTGCATCTTCGTCATCATTTCTCCTACGGGCAATGCGAACCCTAATCCTCCTTGGAACACTTCTGATTCCCCTGCTCCAGACATGCTTGTTCAGCTTGACATCAACCCTGACATCTTTTGTTCCCATGGCTTTCTGTGCAAACTTCCTGATCTCCTTTATGGCATTAGGAGCCTTCTTCTTGAATGTACTGTTTCCAAAGAAAAGAGTGAAGCATAGTTACTCCATTCTCTTCATGTCACTCAATCTTATCTTATATAATCTAACAAATTGCTTAAAATTAAATTTCGCAGCCTCAGACAGACTTGCATCAAAGGCATCAGGATTGGTTAAAAATTGTATAAAATGCTGTAATAAACAGGATAAAAGCACAAAGTTGTAATACATTGCGCATTCACAATGCACCATAAAAGGTTTAAGAAGCAGCCAATAAATTCTTTCTCCTTCAATTAAACAGCAAGGACTTGCTTCAATATTCCGATCATAAATTAAAGTATACTAGTAAATTGCCTTTGCTTCCCAATTTTCCAATGCAGACTGTTAATAAAATTTCCTAAACTATGATAGAACAATCTAACCCAATTAAAAAAAACATGATCTATTTGCCTCTCTCAAACATTACTCCTATTGCCATTCAATTTCAGTTCCTTTGAGCAAAGTGTTGGCATTAAAATCCATTGAGAGACACATACTTGAACCATTATATCCCACCATTACCCATTTACCATGGCAAAAAACATTGCAGCCTAAGCATTACGACTCTCATCATCACCCAAACATCCACATGGCACAAGAAACCATTAATTCCTAACAGCATTCCAGTAACATTACCAGGCACACTGATCTCATTAAATAACCATAACAAAAACTCAAAACAAGAACCAACAATTTACTTACAGGACATTAACGAAAAGATCAAGTAAAACTAGAAAAGACGAGAATAAACCACAAGCCGCTCAAAGCAACACAATAAAAAATAAAAATCACCCAGAAAGCAAATGTATATTTACCATCCATGCAAGCGTTTGTGAAGGTTGATGGTGTACTCTCTGGTAACCACCTCTTCCTTCCTTCCTTTCGTCTTCTCCACCATTGTCACTCTGCTTCACCGCACCTGCAACAATTACCCACTTCGTCACTTCAAAATCTACTCATCAAAGCTAAGTTTTACGACTTGGATAGAAATAGAAAGCGAATCAGCTAGAGAAAGGAACCAGATGGAGCGAAATGATTGATACCAAAACTAGAAAAAGCAATGACGAGAGAGATATACTTCTAGGGTTTTGGAGAAAGGTAGGGATTTCAGGAAAGAGCGGCGGCTGGGATGAGGGGTCTCCACCTAAATAGCAAAACGCAACAAAACCCTAGCTTGCACACCTTCATAAAGGGTCTCCAAAAAAAAAAAAAATCCAACACCTTCATAAAGGGTCTATAAATGGGTTGTATTGCATACCTAGACTCTCTTATCGGGCCACTTCAATTTAATAAATCCAAGTATACTTGGCTTATGGCCCAGGAAGCTAAAATGGCATTTTGAAACTATTAATTTCTTGGCCCAAAAATAGCACATTATTAATTACTAAATATTATAATGTATTAAATTTAATTATAATGAATAGGAATAGCTTCAAAAAAAATTTCAAATAACTAAGAATTTAAAATTTTAAGTTAAAAATCTTAAATTTGAATCATGAAATGGGTGAAGAGGAGAAATTAAAGCTATCCCTATTATTAAATAAGAAAATAATTTAGAAACAATCTTTTTTTGTTATCTTTTTGTATAATCTTATGTATCATTTAAATTATTAGTTTTTTTATTCATTTGAAACCTGTAATATTAAATTCATCTACTAATCTAATAACATGTAAACATTATATAAAAATGTGATATAAAAAGGTTGTCACTATATCACTAACCTATTAAATAAAAATAAACTCCCTTGTTCAAATTTAATAAATATAGTTTTTAATTTAAAGAATTGAAATTTAATTATTTATTTTTTAAAGATATCATTTAATATATTTATTTGTAGTTGTCTTTGTTTTTAAAAAAAATTATAATTTATATGAAATAAGAATTCTTATTTAAATAATACTTAATTAAAAATAAATATGAAATTTTATTAAAAATCATTTCATCTTTATTAAAAAAAGAAAAATGCCCCCTGGGCGTGCAAAGTTGAACATGGAAGGAGTAAAATGATAATGAGCCAAAGCCGAGTGGTGCTCTCTAGCTCATCCACCACTTTTTTTATACAAGGTTAGAAACTACTGTTTACATCATAAATTGCTGATTTGCCCCACTAGTAAAGTTACTGATCATCACTTCTACCTCTATTAAATCACCCAAAGACTTGCTAATTTTGTTTAGCATGCAGGTTGGCAAAATACTAACAATTGCTCCATTATTAACTAGAATTTGATTTATTGGCATATCGTCCAAATGTGCATGAATATATAATGGCCTTATATGTTTGACCATCCTCTCTTTTGTTTTTTCAAAAATGATTTTATCTGCTAAATCCACACCTTTATCTTCCTTAGCTGGGATTTCAATGATTCCCTCTTTCTCGATCTAATCTGTTTGTTGATATATTACAGATTCTAACTGTTTTCTGGCTTGGAAGATTAGAGGAAAAGTAATCACCAAACAAGATAGATTCACAAAAAACTCATCAAATTGAATTACATCTGATGAACTTTCCACTTTATCTGACACATCAAACTTCGTCGTCAAACCAATTTCTTCATTTGATTCCATAATCAAAACTCGAGGTGATGTTTAACTTCTAGGTGGTTCATTCTATTTTGGAGAAGTCTGACCAGATGTGCTTGCTTTTTCTTTATGAACCCACACTGATTTCTTTCTTATTAGGAGTGATTGAATCTGATATGCCATGCTCCCCGAGCTTACAATCTATTTTTAGTGTCTCTTTGCTACCCTTTTGCATTATAAGCACCGCCTTAAGGTTTTTGGATTCTGAATCTTAGGAAATTTTGGATGAACCACTCGTTCCCACCATTTGCTTGGAGATCTAAGTGGTGGTTTCACCATTTTGGGCTTTTCTGCGTGTTCAGATATCACAGTTCCCTTATCTGCATTATTTTTCTACTAAGTTGGGTTATGCCCCTCAGGCCTTCTCCTTTGAGATGGGTTTGACTTGATCTAATATCTACGAGCCCTTGCCTCCTCAATGACCCACCTCAGATCATTAGTTGCCAGTCTGCACTTGAAGTATTGTTGATTTTTATCTTTGGCAATACTCTCGAGATCTGCTACATTCACCCTAACAAACATGTTAAGAAAAGGACTCTCTTGGTCTATAAAATATGGATATGGTTTTCTATAAACTGGTCTAATTAGAGGCCTTAAAATTGGACCATAAGCCTCCTACACCATATTAATGATCTAATCATGATTAATGTACTAACCTAGTAGACCTTGAGGATTTTGTTGCATGGGTGACACATAAGTTTGGAAATGCTCCCTTAGTGGAGGTGCATTATGTTATGGGTGTCCTTCATTGATTGGCACTAAGGTGGTAGATATCTAAGCTGCTGGGGATTACCCAGTTCTGTTGCACATGGTAATAGGTTTTGGCTACATTGGTTTGCCTATTGCTTGCTGATTCTAGGGAGGTGGCTATGGCAGATTAACTTGCCCCCCAAGTGCTTGAGCTGGAATATTCTAGTTCTACCTTTGAAGAGTTGTTGTTTATGGTTGAGGTTCAATTTTGGCACGTTGAAATACCTCTTGCATTTGTTTTGTTTCAACTTGAAAAGCTCTCCAATTTTCTGCATTTTACTCTCACCAAACTTTTGCACTTTCTTTATTAAAATGCCGCATGTCAACTATACTTTGAGCCAGAGTTTGAAGGGACTCATCCAGTCATCTAGCAATCTCTTGGCTTCTTTGTTAAGCTCTTTCCTCATATTCCAACTATGTTCACCTCATTGTGCTAATCTGTTCTGACACATCCTTCATGAGGGAATCACCAGATTAAGCAACAACATCATCTCCAGATTAAGCAGCATCATCATCTCCAGATTCATTATCCTTGTTGAAGATTGGATTAATAAAGGAGTGTTCCCCAAGTATTGGTGATATTGGTGGTAGAATGATTGGCTTATTTTTTTTCTTTTGAATGTACTGGACTCCTTTCACCAAGCCCAATCTGTAAAGTCTAGGCAACCTTCCCAATGTTTCTTTTTGGTAGCATAACTACGCCTTAGATAAAGGAACAACGAATCTGAAAACTGTAAGTGAGACATGGTGAGGTCCTACTAGGCATGCCAAAAAATGATTGTTTCCTCAAAAATCCTCTAGTGGCCTCGCACATATGGAATCAAGATGCGGGCATGCCACTTACTTTACTGAAAGTAAGAAAGAAAGATTTTTCCAATGACGCTCTCCTTTCTCACGTTGACCTCCTTGCGGATGATGGGAAGAACGTTGGTTTAAAGTTAAAATTTGCATGTATAGATGATTTACAAATGGGGGGATGCTTTCTTGCAGAATGGGTTACTAAATTTGCCTTGAACAACTCTAAGAACTTAAATACTACCGTGACACAAAGTTAACATATCCTAATTAAGTTAAATAGCATGCAATTTAAAGTAAATTTGTGAGAAAAAGATGTTCCCAAATTGAATTAAACATGTTCATTGTCAAATTAAATTACTATCTATAGACAGATCTAGAAATTAAACTATTGCAAATTTTGAGATCTAACCATAAATAACATTAAAATTAAATATAAACAATGATTAAACTAACATGCTTGAAATTAAGAAGAAGCATGAATGCCATATAAGTCATCATTTGATGAGATGATACTTATCATAAACATTAAACTAATTACAATAAAAAAAAAGGAACAATACCCTGAAGAAATTCAAGAGCTTGAAGTTCATTACATAAAACGAATTGTTAAAGCGAATACATGAATTAATTTGACTATTGGAATGATAAAAACAACCTAAACCTACTAGAAATTGTGCTAAAATTTAAAATTTATAAGCAAAAGTAAGCAATTGTAGACAAATTGAAAATCTATAAATTTGCAGGTTGTGTGTAAGGGCTAGCTATGTGTTCTATGATCCAAAATTTCCTTTTTGTTTCCCTTTTCCCAACTACAACTCCTCACTTTCTATAGAGTTGCACAAATTGTGGGCAGTTTTATTGAAGAAGTGGGACACCTTAGTAGTTAATAAGGTCAAACTCCCCTCTAGATTTTGCCACTTGTCTCATTATCTGATAACCCACGTCTATAACTAAAGCTTCCTACTATATTTTAGCTAAAATAGACCAAATTTAACTCAAAAAGGTAATTAAAAGATAAAATCATATCTTTTTAACTCATTCCAGCCAATGTGGCAGTTGATCTGTCATGAGCTTAGAATTGCATATTTGACATGACAAAATCTCCTCCATCCATTAAATTTTTTTTACGCATGGCATGATCTTTAATTTTTGTAATTTATGGTGTAAACAATGCCCCCTAACACTTGATTTTATGGAAATAAATCCATGTGTTTTAATTAAATAAATTGCATTTACCACTTTAATTCCCTATGCCACGTATCAAACTTCTTTTACTTAAAAGAGGCTCCTAAAATATCTCTTGGACCAATTTCCAAGATTATCTCCACTAACTTTCTCTTAAAATCCTTTTTTTAACTTTTAAACTCTCAAAAAATCCTAAAAGATCAGGACCTTTTAAAAGTCAAAGTCAAACTCACCATTTAATCTCTTTCTTCTTCTTTGGGACATCACTGATTTCTTCACCTTTTCTTCTCCTTCCCAGATTTGCTACCATGGGCGGCGACCAAAAAAATCAACTTTTTCCCACCGAATCTGCTTCTACCATGGCTGAAACTAAGACTATTCAACCCAAGAAACCACCCCTTGCAGATCTGATCAGTCTCTTCCAAGTTAAAAATCTCCAAAATGAAATCAACCAAATCCTCCAATGTCATAAAACTTGCCATTTAGATCCAATGTTTGTCCCTCACATGAAATCCAAGATTTTAGGTCCATGTTTTGTTTCTCCTCCACCTATTCCTCTTAAACTTGTATACCCACAACCAAAAGACCATCCTTTTCCTTTCCAGGTAAAACCCGATTGGAGCAAGTCGATTGGCCAGTTTGGATCTTGGCCATCTTAGAGAAAATCTGAGTGGGTTGACTGGGTAGATCGCCTAGAGCTAGATTTCAGCCAAATTTGGAAGGATGTGGGCTTGTATGACTTATTTCAACTAACAAAGTGTAGATTTGTCATGGATAGGCCGATCTTGAGTTTTGCTTTGCTCTTTTGGTCTAGTTCTTTCAATTGCTTCCACTTCCCATGTGGCGCCATATCCGTGAGTCTCTTTGACATTAGTTCTTTAACCGAACTACCTTGCATGGGAAAAGAAATTTCTACACTTATGACCATGCCACCAGGTATAGAATACAATCACAAAGATCTGAAGCCCTATTTTCCAGCTTTAATGAGATCTTCCTATGACCAAAGTAAGCCTACCAGTGCTCAAGAGCATATTTCATTTCTGCTTACATTAATCTGCAAATACATGGTTTGTTTTGCTGGTAAAGGCCCCACTAAAGAGTTTATCCCATTAGCTGCCACTTTAGCAAACGACAGACATTTAGCTTTGGGTCCCTTTCTGCTTGCCTACTTGCACAGAAGCTGTCAAGATGTCACGGCTTACCCTTTAGGTAGTAGTGGTGGGCCACTTTGGATTCTGCAATTGTGGCTTTATTCTTATTTCCCAACACTTGCTCATGTTCTATCTGTGTACCAATTCAAGATCTTCTTACCTACGGCTTAATGTTTAAAGATGCTACAAAGAATAAGAAGAGTTTTAAGGAATGCTTCACATTTTTTGCTTCTTTTCCCATCAATAGACCTAATGTAGGTTTCATTGTGTTTCTATGCAGATCTCATGGCCCTCCTTGGTACAAGGTCGATATTCAGTCTCTAGATTTCAAAGCTTTCTGGTCTATTTGTGTGACTTCTCAGGATCTGTTTGTTGGCTGCAGTCTGAATGCCCTCAATTCCAAATGTGGAGTTGAGTTTTTATGCACTAATCAATTCTGTCGGCATCTTGGATACTGCCAAGGCATTCCATTTCCACCACTATTTTCCTTTAACCACAATTACCCCTTTTGCTTTGTGATAGGAGAATCAGACATTTTAACCACAAAGCTTGCTAAAATTACCCAAATCTTATAGACCATGATTCTACCAAATCCTCCTTTTCAACCGAGCTGCACTTCCACATATAAAACTTGGTGGAAATGATACTTTCTTCCTCGGTTTCTTGGGGTTTTGGATGACATTTGCTTTAACTCCGCCACTCACTAAAAAATTTGAGGAAAAATATGTTACAAAGGAAGGAGGTGACCTAGAATCTACCGTGACTTCCCAAACTAAGAAACTAGATTTACCAAGGAGAGCTCCCAAAATTCAAGCCAAAAGAAAAGCTGCCACTCCTGTAGATTTTGTAGAGTATACCCCTTCAAAGCAACAGAGAACTGGAGGAAAGTTTGCCTTGGCTTCCCTGGCTTGAAACTTTGTGTAATTTGTTTTCTGCTAACTTTCCCCACCTTTTTTTTTCAAGGTATCAAGAGGCCAGCAGTAAAGCCCTTTGCAACCAAAAAACTCATCAAATCTGCATCTCTATCAGAAAAGTGGCGACTAGTAGGATACTCTTTAGTGGGGCCTTTACCAGCAGAACAGACCATGTATTTGCAAATATGTTCTTGAGTGTTGATAGGCTTACTTTGGTCACAGGCAGATCTCGCAAAAGCTGGAAAAGAGGATTTCAGATCTTTGTGATTGTATTATATACCTGGTGGTTAGGAGTGCAGAAATTTCTTCTCCAGTGCAAGGTAGTCTGGTCAAAGAATTAATGTCGAAGAGACTTACGAACATGGCACCACATGGTAAGTGGAAGCAATTGAAAGAACCATACCAAAAGAGCAAAGCAGAACCCAAGATTGGCCTATCCATGACAAATCTACACTTTGTTAGTTGAATGAACTCATACAAGCCCATATCCTTCTAGATTTGACCGAAATCTAGTTCTAAGCAATCTACCTAGTCAACCCACTCAAATTTTCTCCAAGCTGACCAAGATCCGAACCGATCGATCCATTTGCTCCAATCAAGTTTTACCTAGAAAAGAAGAGGATGGTCTTTTGGTTGTGAATATACAAGTTTAAGAGGAATAGGTGGAGGAGAAACAAAATATGGACCTAAAATCTGGGATTTCATGTGAGGGACAAACATTTGATATGAATGGCAAGTTTTATGACGTTGGTGTTAAAAAAATCAAGGATTCCGAAAAAAAGAAGATGGAATGAAAAATTGAATCTCTCATTAAACTGAAAATAACCTAGCCTTTAAATAGGCTTTACAAAATAATATTATCTAAAAAGATAACTAGCCAATCTTATCTTATCTAATTTAAATGATAACAACCTAAAATAAATAAATAACTTAAACTTCCTAAAATATAGAGATAATGACTAAATAATAGGATCTAATTTCCAACAATCCCTCCCTTAAACTAAAAGTCTTCAGACTTTAGTTTAAAGAAATCTGGATAACACCATATCTGTAGATCTGCAATCTGGAATCTACATACCCTCCCTCAAACTGAATTCTGCATGTTGCAAACACCAAGTAACTCTCTCAGTTTTGAAAAAACTGCTACTTTGAGGGGTTTTGTGAATATATCAGCCACTTGATCTTCTGTTTTGCAATAAATCAACTCAATTGTTCCATCTTCTACCAAGTTGCGCAAGAAATGATACCTCACATGTATATGCTTGCTTCTCCCATGCAAAACTGGATTTTTAGAAAGCTTGATAGCTGAACTGTTATCACAATAAATTGAAGTGACCTCATGTTGATTCAGCTGAAGTTCTTCCATAATTCTTCTCAACCAAATAGCTTGACAAGCACAAGAAGTTGCTGCCACATAATCCGCTTCTGTTGTGGATAAAGTCACAATGGGTGCTTCTTTGAAGACCATGAAATTGCACCATATCCCAGCATAAAAACAAACCCAGAAGTGCTTTTTCTGTCATCCAGATCTCCAGCATAATCACTGTCTGGTCACCCTTCTTGTAAAACAGTCCAAAATCTGCAGTTCCACATAAATACCTGAGAATTCTTTTAGCAGTCTGCAAGTGCAACTCCTTTGGATGCTCCATATATCTGCTAATCAGACTTACGCCATGCATTATATCTGGTCTTGTTGCTATCAGATACATCAGACTTCCAACAATCTGCTTATACAGTTTGCTGTCCACAGATCTACCTCCTGGATCTTTCACGAGCTTTACACCTTTATCAACTGGTGTAGTGACAGAATTGCAGTTCTTCATTTGAAATCTGTCCAGAACTTCCTGCACATATTTTTTCTGACAAACAAAAATTCGAGAATCTGACTGTACTACTTCCAGACCAAGAAAATAATGCAACAAACCCAGATCTGTCATTTCAAATTCAAGCTTCATGGACTGCTTGAACTTTTCCAACATGCCAAAATCATTCCCAGTATAAATTAAATCATCAACGTATAAGCATACTATAATCAATTTACCTCCATCTCCAAATTTGATGTAAAGTGTATGCTCATAAGGGCACTTTTGAAAACCTTCCTTCAAAAAATAAGCATCAATTCGACTATACCAAGCTCTAGGTGCTTGTTTTAGTCCATATAATGCTTTCTTCAATCTGTAAATCTTATGCTCAGAACCAGATTTCACATAACCAGGAAGTTGATCAATAAATACCTGTTCTTGTAGATTTCCATGCAAGAAGGCAGATTTCACATCAAGTTGATAGATTGGCCATGAGTTCTATGCTGCCAATGCAATCACCAATCTGATGGTATCCATCCTTGCAACTGGAGCAAAAACTTCTTGATAATCAATGCCAAACTCTTGCTTGTAACCCTTTGTCACCAAGCGAGCTTTGAATTTGTCAACCGTCCCATTCTCTTTGAGCTTTGTCTTGTAGATCCACTTAACACCAATTGTTTTGTGCCCTTCTAGAAGATCTGTCAACTCCCAAGTCTGGTTCCTTTCAATATAACCAATTTCTTCTGCCATGGCCTTTTGCCACTTTTCTTCTTTAACAGCTTCTTCATATGTTAAGGGATCACAATCTACAAATAAAGCAAAATGATTAACTGGAACATCATCTTGAGGTAGATCTGTTACCTCATAATCTTCCAACCATACTGGTCTTCTCTTTTTGCGTTGAGGTCTGGAACTAGTTCCAAATTCCAGTTCTGTTCCAGATTCCAGTTCTGGTGTTGATGGCAGACTTCCTCCAGTACTGAACTCTACTTCTGTAGGCAGACTTTCTTCAGCTGTCTGTCTTGAAACCTCGAGATCTGCTGAAGTTTGACCTTCTGAGTTCTGCACAGTCAGATCTTCTCCATTTTCGAAATCTGCAGGAATTTGTTGCCCAGATTTTTCTGTCCAAGACCAAGTGCTTGCTTCATCAAACACTGCATCACGGCTAATGATGACCTTCTTGGTTAAAGGATTGTATAATCTGTAAGCTTTGGACTGATCACTAACACCAAGGAAAATACATTTTTCCCCTTTGTCATCAAGCTTACTCCTTTTCTGATCTGGCACATGTGCATATGCTATGCACCCAAAAATTCTGAAGTAATCAACAGCAGGTCTACGTCCACTCCAAGCCTCTTCTGGCGTCAAATCTGGAAGTAGAGATGTGGGACTTCTATTCAAGATATGAACACTCCAATTAACAACTTCTGGCCAAAACTCCTTAGGCAAGCCGCTCTTTGACATCAGACTTCGCACCATATTCATGATTGTGCAATTCCTCCTCTCACATACACCATTTTGCTGAGGTGTATAGGCTGCTGTGAGTTGCCTTCTAATGCCATTGGACTCACAAAAATCTGAAAATTCCTTTGAATTAAACCCACCACCACGATCTGTCCGCAGAACCTTTACAGATCTGCCAACCTCATTCTCAGCCAAGACTTTGAAATTTTTAAAGGTTGCTAAGGCTTCTGACTTAGTCTGCAAAAAATACACCCATGTTTTGCGACTGTAATCATCAACAAAGGTAATAAAGTATTGTTTACCTCCATTGGATGTTGGATTTATGGGTCCACACAGATCAGAATGAACCAGATCTAGCACCTGCTTTGCTCTCCAAGATCTGTCTTTAGGAAAGCT